TTTACAACAAAACAAAACAACATTCATATCAACATGATCAATGTGATGTTAAACACGATTGTTGCTTCTTACCTAGTAACGGGTGCTGTTTGGTGCCGCTCTGCTGCGTGTTGCCCGGTGGCGTGGATGTACTTGGAGCTGGTGTGGTCGGGAAGGGTCAGAAGCGGGGAGGATTGGACAGTCAAAAGCAGAATCTGGCGAACCTTCATCTTCAGTGGGACTTTCTGCATCAAAATTAAGAGTGGAAAAACAGCAACAGAGTACAGTTAGCAATGATGTTAACTAATGATGACTTAACCATGTCAGCCTCGTTTGTTCAGAGTACTTTCAGAAAACGCAAAGAAACGGTTGCATGAGGAAAAGGAAATATGCTTAAAGTAAATAAAATACACTCACCATCAACTATAGATTCCAGAAGAGCAGTGGCTGTGTCTAGGCCACTCTCCCTCCCTTTGTTGGCTGGGCGTTTGCGGTAAATGGCATCCATTTGTACAAACCACTTCCAGTTTCTTCTGTTTGCGCCACTCCTACCGTTGTAGTCCTTAATTGTTTTGTAATCGCTTTTTAGTTTTTTAAGCTTTCCTCTTTGCTTTGGTGTGCGATGGAAGCCCTGCACCGCCATCTGCGCAGACACCTCTTGAAAAATCTTTTCATTTCGTTTCGTTCCATCTAGCTCGCTCTGCACTTGTTCATCGGCCAGCAAACAGAGAAATGCCTGACCTTCAGCATTCGACCACGGTTGTGCCATGATTATTTGTTTTACCTTATAAAATATTCCAAAATAAGCTCCTCCGATTTCTTGTTGTCTGTTATGCGGGTGAAAAAGAAAATGGTGGATTGTGATTTCCGGTGGAAGACTGAATCTCCGCCCTCCACCAATGAATACGCCCCCTGACCAATCAGTGACCTACAGTGCGCTGATGTCACATCTAGACCCTACAAGAACCAGACCTGGGACCTCAGAGAATTAGGTCTCAAAAATGGGGTGGGTTCCACCGCTAAAGGCATAGTTGATAAAACACGCAATCGGCCACAACTAGTTACATAGGAGTACCAAAGGGCCCCTTGGATAAGGGGCTAAGCAGACCACAGTCAGTGAGGATCCACAACTTATCCTCCTCCACCATAACCCTCAGCACTGGCTCTCCTCAAGGATGTGTGTTGAGCCCTCTCCTGTTTACTTTGCTCACATGACCTGACTGATTCTAGAATTGCGCCGCTCAAGGTGGCTGCATGTTGGAGCAGCTCTGTTACTTTCATTCTAAGATTTTGCTTTTGGAAACTTTAATTCCTCTTTTTCTGGATGTAAATCACATGTTTTGGATGATTGTTTCCTCTGTGGTATCGGATGCTGTGCAGCTGGAAGGATTTTTACTGAAACTTTTTTAGTTTTGGACATTTGTTATGATGCGTAACCATGGCAACAAGGCAGTTTTCTACAACCAACAGCAGCTGATTAACATCTCAAAAGCTCAAATAATATCTCAACTACAGCCCCAAATCTCAAATGAGTGGAAAAGGATGTTCTGTGGATGCATTCTCGTCTACCTGCCAGCTGTGCTCGTGCACCTGACCACTGAGATCCTGGAATTTGCAGGAAACACGGCTCATGACAGTAGAAGGACAGGATCGTCCCTCGGCACCTACAGTAGGCCGTTCACAGCGACGAGGAGCTCGGCTGGCTGCTGGGAGGAGTGGTCATCACTCTGGGAGGAGTTCTGCACAGCATTCGGGCGGTCCTACAGCCCGGGGGAACCGAGAGGCCAGCCGAGTCTGGGTGGATGGATCAGACGGCATCTGCAGCCAGTTTCTTAGGATCCACTGTGGGATGGACCTTTACAACAGATCCTTCCTGTCTACAGCCATCAGTATCTATAACATCTTTAATGAAATGAGGATAACGAGTTACAACAAAAAATAATTTCCCTTTGGGATTAATAAAGTATTTTTGAATTGAATTGAATATGATTGTGCAGCAACCCATCCAGGCTGTCAAACTGTAAAGTTTGCAGATGATACAGCGGTGGTTGGATGCATCACAAACAATGATGAGTCCAGCTACAGGCAGGAGGTGGAACACCTTTAGAGCTGGTGCAAAGAGAATAACCTTCACATTAGGAATGTACGATACGGCATAAAATTCATATCACGATATGTATTGTGAAGGGTGGCAATAACAATATATGTGGCGCCGAGGTTAGAGAGGTGGGCTTGTGATCCGAAGATCGCCGGTTCACGCCCCGGCCCCGACAACATCAAAATTGTGGGTGGGGTAGGTGAAACACCCACACTTGCCCCCACCCTCATTCACCCCACTCTGGGCCCATGAGCAAGGCCCTTAACCCCCACCATGTGCTCCCTAAACAGGTCTCTCTTGAAAATGAGTTCTCGTGGCTCAATGAGACTAACCTGGATAAATAAAGGCTAAATGAAAAAAAAAAAAAAAAAAAAATATCGCAATATGTTTTGGGTATAAAACTTAATAGGAATTTTTTTTAAAGCATAGGGTGTCCTTTTGCTATCATATATTTTGAATTAAAAAAATTCCACTACTAGGTCCAGAGAGTTTTTAAATTATAAACAAATCAAGTATTGGGCTTCTTGCTTGTAGTGCAAAACAGTGCAAAATATATAAAATGTAGTTTTAGCCATATGTTTTAAACAAAAGAATATGTTGTTAACTTAACGGTTTCCAGTCTTCTCCCTTAAGAAATGAACAGCAACAGAGCAGCATTTTACACTGAAACACTTCATCCTCCAACCCTCTAGTTGGCGCCTCCTTTTGCTTTAATGGAGAGCTGACACAAAATGAGTCTGTGGCTTTGACCAGAGGGTCTCGCAGTAAAATCACACAACACAGCGTTCTTTTCACAGATCAGAGAGCAGGTTTCTCTAAAGCTGACCAATGCTTACTTTAACTTTCGACGGGAAAAAAAAACTTTCGACGGAACTCAGCGTTTTGCACATGCGTCAGAATACAGCAACACTACGGCATGCCGGCCGTAGTTAGCTTGTAGCTTCGCTACTTAGCTCTTGAAGAAAAGACTAACACCACTTGCGCACAGTTTTCAGCTCAAAAAAAGTAACTATTAAATCTGACAGCTCTGATTTTACACTTGAACACCACTTACACACAGTTTTCAACAAAAAAAGTAACGATTAAACTGACAACTCTGATTTTACATCAGACACAGCATTACTGCGGTTAGCCGGTAGAAGACAGATCTCTATCGTAGGCTAAAATTCTACCGTTTGTACCGTATACCGCATTTATCGCGCATTCCTACTTCACATCAATGTGAAGAAGACAAAGGAAATGATTGTGGACTTCAGAAGGAACCCCCCCCCCCCCCCCCCCCCCCCCATGAACAGCCGGAGGAGGTGGTCTCCAGCTACAAGTACTTGGGTGTATACTTGGGCATTAACAGAGTACTCGAGTAATCTACACATCGATTGCTTGGACATCTATCGAGGTTAAAAATGTAATGTCGAGTAACCGTAGTGACGTCATATTATGTGACCACCGTATGACCGTAGGGGGTGGTGTTGCACTGTTGCAGGTCACAGAGTATGGTTTAACACCGGGTCCAATCCACCGAACCAGAACCAGCTTCCTCTGACCTTGTTTCACAAACAAAAAGCAAAAAATATTAATCTCTAAACCAATAAAAAAATCTATAAACATATTAATCTCTAAAACTAAACTTAATGCGCACCACAGCTGGCGGTGGTGCGGGATGGTCACCCCCCCCCCCACACACACACACACACGCACGTTAAGTTTCGTTTCTGAAGTGCTGCACGTTTCTTCACGTTTGCAGTTTAATAATAATAACTAATAGTTTAATTTTTCCTGTGACTTATTTGCAGTATGATAAATGGTAGGAGCATAATATACACTTCCAATGTTTTGTTGGTCTTTTTTTGTAAATAATTACCTTTTTTGCGGTTTTATTTATTTATTTATTTTTGTATCTTGAGATCTATGACGTCATCAAATACTCGAGTTCTACTCGGGTTTTATGTTAATGTCGAGTTTAAAAATTATATACTCGTTCAACCCCTAGTGTATACATGAATGACAACCTCAGCTGGGGCAACAACACCACCAGCCTGATCAAGAAAGCTCATCAGGGACTCTACTTCCTCAGGCAGCTAAGACGAGCTGGACTGGGAAGCTCAGTCCTCACCTCCTTCTACAGGTGTGCAGTGGAGAGCATCCTGTGCTCCAGCATCAACGTGTGGCATGGAGGCTGCACAGCTTCAGAAAGAAAAGCTCTGCAGAGAGTGGTGAAAGCAGCACAGAAGATGTTGGAGTCAGCCTCCCCACCATCACAGACATTTACACCTCCAGATGCAGGAAGAAGACCAACTGCATCATGAAGGAGCCCACTCACCCAGCACACACACTTTTTGTCCCGCTCCCCTCAGGAAGGAGGTTGAGGAGCATTAAGTGTAGAACCACTAGACTGAGAAACAGCTTCTACCCTGAGTCTGTTAGACTCATGAATCTCTAATCAGGATAATCACTGTGAAAAATCACATCATGTTGCTGCTGATCTGTTTCAATGTTGCTGCTGATCTGTTCCATGTTGTTGAGTTCATGCGTGCTCATCTGCTCACACAGACTCATGCTCATGTTCGTGCTGCTGTTCGACCTAATGTTTTTATGCTATTAGTGCTTAGTGTATTTTTAGTTGATGTTTTTCTTAGTTCATATCTTAGATGTGATCATTGTTTTTCTTTTAGATTTTATTGATGGATGTAACTGGGACCCTGTGTACATAATTTCGTTCCACCACATGAACCACATGTGGTGGAACGACAATAAAGAATCTCTGACTCTGACATACTGAGCTGAATTGCAACAAAGCAGAAAATAAGCTCTCCATCTAACTGTCTAAGTGTTTTATGTGACGTGTTTGAGTGTTTCTGAACAATGAAATAAAAACATTTTTTTAATGTCATTTAAAGCTTGGGCACTATTAAATGACTCTTACCGAGCATAACGTCTTCTGTCTGAGCGATGTGTGTTCCGGTCTCTTTCTCTGGACCTGGGTCGTTCTCTTGACACAGATCTGGCACGTTTCCTGGAAGAGGACTCTTGTCCCCTGGATCTTGATCTAGACCTGTCTTTTTCTCTGGATTGGGATCTGTTCTTTTCTCTGGATTGGGATCTGTTCTTTTCCCTGGACCTGGATCTGTTCCTTTCCCTGGACCTGGATCTGTTCTTTTCCCTGGACCTGGATCTGTTCCTTTCCCTGGACCTGTTCTTTTCCCTGGACCTGGATCTGTTCTTTTCCCTGGATCTGGATCTGTTCTTTTCCCTGGACATGTCATCCTCTCTGGACCTGGATCTGTCATCTTCTCTGGACCTGGATCTGTCATCTTCTCTGGACCTGGATCTGTCCTTCTCCTTGGAGCTGGATCCCTGGAATGACAGACAAGTAGGGAGTATCATTTCTTTTGATCTTCCCATGGTAAAATAATTAGGCCATCTGAAAGTAGGAGGAAATTTAACTCCCAGAAGTCTTTTTGTAAAGTTTTAGTTTAGATGAATGAAACGAACCTTCCAGCACAAATTGTGTCTAGTTGAAGTCCAAAATTAAATCAAACTCTGTCACTGTGCAGTTCATATATCTGAAGACAGTTCAGAAAGTGTCCACAGACAGAAATGTCCTGGTGCCAACAATAAAATGACCTGCTGCAAATTTTGTAATCTCTTTCTAATTCAGCTTTTCAAATTCTGACTGGTTGCCTACAACTCAGCCAACCACTAAACACAACACACAACCACCAGGAGAAAAACATGTTCTGTCTGAAAAGACTGATTTGGAGTACAGTTGTGATAATGAACCTTGAATCAGCCAACATTTTATAAATAAACTATTTTATTTTTTAAATCTGTCAATTAAAAGATTTAGTTTGTATCACATTTTTCTCTTGAATGATGAAAACTATTTTGTTTATACTTTTCAGCGTTCTAGTTTACACTGCGAGCAAGGTAAAGAATTTGACATCAGGAAAAATGTTCTTACTTTCATTTGAGCCACACTGCTTCTAATCTTCTTCAGTGCAGTTTTGTATTCATCTGGATCTTCGCTGTCACCGCTGCTGCTGTCTGAGCTGCTGGAGGCAGGACTCTTGGTGGGACCGGCCTGAGGGGAAGGTCGCTTTTTGAGGCTTCTCTCCACTGCACTCTCCTGGTTTGATACTGGACTAGACACATCTTCTGAAGGTACTGCTAACAATGGAGGTGCAAAATATTACAACTAGTGTTTGTAGAAAAATATGAAGGAAACGTGAAAGCAAATGTTACCATTTTGTTCTCTCAGTGAAGGACTGGGACTTTCACTTCTTCCTGAAGAACTCATGTCTATAACAAAAATAAACAGGAAAAAAAAAAAACTCTGCTGATGAGTAAATTATTATTTTGCTTTAAAAACAAATCTGTGGTTTTGTTGTATTAAAATACAATATGTTCGCCTCTCGCACAGTGATGGCTGGACATGGGCACCAGTGACCCCTGCAACCAGAAAAATTAAGACGTGGGTAAAGGTTTTTTATTTAACCAGGCAAATCCCATTGAGATCACAGATCTCTTTTACAAGGGAAGCCTGGGCCTGAAGGCAGCCTAACATGCATGTTTTTGTTCTGTGGGAGGAAACCGGAGCCGGAGAAAACCCACACAAGCACGAGAAAAACAGGCAAACTTCACACAGAAAGATCCCAGGTCCAGCCGGAGATTGAACCCAGGACCTTCTTACTGTGAGGCAACCATGCTAACCACTGATCCATCATGCTGCCTTAAAGATAATGGATGGATGTTCATGTTTATACATCCTAACAGTTCACTAGATGTCTACATTTAGTGTCACTAGTGACCCTTATGTCTACAAATCACTGAACAGCCCCCTCCCCCCATCTCTCTGATCTGCTACAACCGTATGTCCCACCACGTTCCCTGAGGTCAGCAGACCAGTTGCTCCTCACAGTTCCAGGAACTCGTCTTAAGCGCAGAGGGGACAGGGCCTTCTCTGTAGCAGGACCAAGACTCTGGAACGAGTTACCTCTGCTCGTCAGACAGGCCCCCTCCCTCTCGGTTTTCCACTACTATTCGGTAGCTTTCAACACCAGATGATCTGTGTTTTGAACCTGTATGCTCCACACTGGTTGGTCATCATTATCTGCATTGTTTTTATGTCTATATTTCTGATTTACTTCAATTTGTATTTTGCTTTGTGTGTTACCTGTTGTTATGTCTGTACAGCACTTTGGTTGGCCTTGTAGCTGTTTTAAGTGCTCTATAAATAAAATTGTATGGTATGGTAGATGCCCCTCCCTGGGCTGCCACCTTACCGTGGTGGAGGGGTTTGAGTGTCCCAATGATCCTAGGAGCTATGCTGTCAGGGGCTTTATGCCCCTAGTAGGGTCACCCATGGCAGACAGGTCCTAGGTGAGGGACCAGACAAAGTGCAGCCCAAAGACCCCAATGATGAGAAACACAAATGGACCTAGTGTTCCCTTGCCCGGACATGGGTCACCGGGGCCCCACTCTGGAGCCAGGCCTGGAGGTGGGGCACGCGGGCGAGCGCCTGGTGGCCGGGCTTTTGCCCATGGAGCTCGGCCGGGCACAGCCCGAAGAGGAGACATGGTTCCGCCTTCCCATGGGCTCACCACCTGTGGGAGGGGCCAAAGGGGTCGGGTGCAATGTGGGATGGGTGGTGGCCGAGGGCGGGGACCCTGGCAGTCTGATCCTCGGCTACAGAAGCTGGCTATTGGGACGTGGAATGTCACCTCACTGATGGGGAAGGAGCCTGAGCTGGTGTGTGAGGCTGAGAGGTTCCGGCTAGAAATAGTCGGACTCACCTTTATGCATGGCTCTGGCTCTGGAACCAGTTTCCTTGAGAGGGGCTGGACACTCTTCCACTCTGGAGTTGCCCCTGGTGAGAGGCGCCGAGCAGGCGTGGGCGTACTTATTGCCCCCCAACTTGGTGCCTGTGTATTGGGGTTCACCCCGGTGAATAAGAGGGTGGCCTCCCTCCGCCTACGTGTGGGGGGACGGGTTCTGACTGTCGTTTGTGCTTATGCACCAAACGGCAGTTCAGATTATCCACCCTTTCTGGAGTCTTTGGAGGGGGTACTGGAAAGTGCACCTTCTGAGGACTCCCTTGTTCTGCTGGGGGACTTCAATGCTCATGTGGGCAATGACAGTGAGACCTGGAGGGGTGTGGTTGGGAGGAACGGCCCCCCTGATCTGAACCAGAGTGGTATTCTGTTGTTGGACTTCTGTGCTCGTCATGGATTGTCAATAACGAACACCTTGTTCAAGCATAAGGGTGTCCATATGCGCTCTTGGCACCAGGACACCCTAGGCCGCAGTTCGATGATCGACTTTGTCATCATCTCATCTGATCTGCGGCCACATGTCTTGGACACTTGGGTGAAGAGAGGGGCGGAGCTGTCAACTGATCACTACCTGGTGGTGAGTTGGCTCCGATGGTGGGGGAGGATGCCGGTCAGACCTGGCAGACCCAAACGTATTGTGAGGGTTTGCTGGGAACGTCTGGCAGAGTCTCCTGTGAGACGGAGTTTCAACTCCCACCTCCGGGAGAACTTTGAACATGTTCCGAGGGAGGTGGGGGACATTGAGTCTGAGTGGACCATGTTTCGTGCCTCTATTGTCGAGGCGGCTTACCAGAGCTGCGGCCGCAAGGTTGTCGGTGCCTGTCGCGGCGGCAACCCTCGAACCCGATGGTGGACACCGTCAGTGAGGGATGCTGTCAGGCTGAAGAAGGAGTTCTATCGGGCCTTTTTGGCCTGTGGGACCCCGGAAGCAGCTGATGGGTACCGGCAGTCCAAGCGACATGCGGCTCGGGTGGTTGCTGAGGCAAAAACTCGGGCATGGGAGGAGTTCGGAGAGGTCATGGAGAACGACTTCCGCACGGCTTCAAGACGATTCTGGTCCACCATCCGGCGTCTCAGGGGGGGAAAGCGGTACGCCACCAACACTGTTAATAGTGGGAGTGGTGTGCTGCTGACCTCAACTCGGGATGTTGTGGGTCTGTGGGCGGAATACTTTGAAGACCTCCTCAATCCCACCAGCATGTCTTCCACTGAGGAAGTGGAGCCTGGGGACTATAGGTCGGGCCCTCCAATCTCTGGTGCCGAGGTCACCGAGGTGGTTAAAAAGCTCCTTGGTGGCAGGGCCCCGGAGATGGATGAGATTCGCCCAGAGTTCCTTAAGGCTCTGAATGTTGTAGGGTTGTGTTGGCTTACGCGACTCTGCAATATTGCGTGGACATCGGGGGAAGTTCCCCTGGATTGGCAGACCGGGGTGGTGGTCCCCCTATTCAAAAAGGGGGACTGTAGAGTGTGTTCCAACTACAGGGGAATCACGCTCTTAAGCCTCCCTGGTAAGGTCTATTCGGGGGTTCTGGAGAGGAGGGACCGTCGGATAGTCGAACCTCGGATTCAGGAGGAACAGTGCGGTTTTCGTCCTGGCCGTGGAACACTGGACCAGCTCTACACTCTCAGCAGGGTCCTGGAGGGTGCGTGGGAGTTAGCCCAACCAGTCTACATGTGCTTTGTGGACTTGGAGAAGGCGTTCGACCGCGTCCCTCGGGGGGCCCTGTGGGGGGTACTCTGGGAGTATGGGGTACCGGGCCCTTTGATACGGGCTGTTAGGTTCCTGTATCACCGGTGCCAGAGCCTGGTCCGCATCGCCGGCAGTAAGTTGGGCTTGTTCCCGCTGAGAGTTGGACTCTGCCAAGGTTGCCCTTTGTCACCGATTCTGTTCATAACTTTTATGGACAGAATTTCTAGGTGCAGCCAAGGTGTTGAGGGGATCCGTTTTGGTGGCCTTAGGATTGCGTCACTGCTTTTTGCAGATAATGTGGTCTTATTGGCTTCATCAGATCGTGATCTACAGCTTTCGCTGGAGCGGTTCGCAGCCGAACGCGATGCGGCCGGGATGAAGATCAGTTCCTCCAAATCCGAAGCCATGGCCTTGAGCCGGAAAAGGGTAGAGTGCCCTCTCCGGGTCAGGGAGGAGGTCCTACCCCCAAGTGGAGGAGTTCAAGTATCTTGGGGTCTTGTTCACGAATGAGGGAAAAATGGAGCGTGAGATCGATAGGCGGATAGGTGCAGCGTCTGCAGTGAAGCGGGCGCTGTACAGGTCTGTCGTGGTGAAGAGAGAGCTGAGTCAAAAGGTGAAGCTCTCAATTTACTGATCGATCTACGTTCCCACCCTCATCTATGGTCACAAGCTTTGGGTTGTGACCGAAAGAATGAGATCTCGGATACAAGCGGCCAAAATGAGTTTTCTCCGCAGGGTGTCTGGGCTCTCCCTTAGAGACAGGGTGAGAAGCTCGATCATCCGGGAGGGACTCGGAGTAGAGCCGCTGCTTCTCCACGTCGAGAGGAGCCAGTTGAGGTGGCTTGGGCATCTGTTTAGGATGCCTTCTGGATGCCTCCCTGGTGAGGTGTTCCGGACACGTCCCACCAGAAGGAGGCCTAGAGGAAGACCCAAGACACGCTGGAGGGACTATGTTTCTCGGCTGGCCTGGGAACGCCTCGGGATTCCCCCGGAAGAGCTGGCCCAAGTGGCTGGGGAGAGGGAAGTCTGGGCCTCCCTACTTAGGCTGCTACCCCCGCGACCCGACCCCGGATAAGCAGAAGAAAATGGATGGATGGATGGTATGGTAGATAATGAATAAAAACATTGGTAGCATTTTTATTGCCATGGTTGGGAATGTATATACATAGTACATCAGCAAAAATCCCAAACAACTGCTGGATCAAGTAATAAAGTAGGTAGTTGGTACCTGTACTATCTGAAATAACTAGGGGTGCCGAAAAAAAAAGATTTTTTCAAGAATCTAGATTCTTAGTCCTGGCGATTCTGAATAGACTCTAAAAGCCCATAAATCAATTTTAAAACATGTTTAATTTTATATTTTTTCCGCTCTTACTCCCGAGCGTACAGCATATAGCATTATGTGTCCAGTCGACCGCCGTAGAATTTTGGCCGTGTAGGCCACCGTACAGCAAGTTAGTTAGCCAGCTCCCTTTATCTGAATGGAGTCTGCTAGCATGGCGCAGGAGGACGGTGCTAATCAACCCATTTCTTCGTCTGTAAAAATCATTTCAGATCCTACAATGCTCCAGGGGAAGAAAGAGCTTAACAAGAGCACAGTTGTTTGCAAGAAGTGTAAAATAAATTTGCAGTACAATATTTTGGAAATACGACAAAATGCTACAAAATGCGCAGAAGATGAAAGTGAAAGCAGCCGACCAGTGAACGCTGCTGTGAAGATTTTCCTCTCCATCTCCTGCTATATCACAAAGGATTTACGAGCAGACAGCTCAGTGGAAGGTGAGGGGTTAATTTTATTTTTAATATGATGGAAGAAACATACGTTACTCCTTCATGTAGATAAAGCTCCACACAGTTCCAGCATGAAACAAGAATAACGGGAGAAGCTCTGATGCAGCTGCAGCTCAAAGGTAACATTTTTTTCCTTCATATTATACTAAAACTTATAGACAAGTTGAACAACAAACTTAATGTAATTTGTCTTTTTACAGGTTGAAGAGACCAGATGAGACACATCTCCTGGAACCAGTTCTAAATGATAGTTTATTTTGGTTTATAAATTACAGTTCAGAAGAGTTTTTGTGTAGACTAGACTGGTTTTGAAATTTTGTTAAAGATTTACCAAACTGTTAATATTGTAAAAAAAAAAAAAAAAACTGTGAAGTCTGTATTTTATTTTGAGGTAAAGGTTAATGTAGTATGGTAGGCTGAAGTCTGTTTACTTTTGCATTTATATATTTTGAATTATTTGTCTGTGATGGACTGGAGACCTGTCCAGGTGTCTCCCGCCTTTCACACAGTGATAGCTGGAGATGGGCACCAGTGACCCTCGTGACCCGTAAAGGAAGAAGTGGGTAAAGATGATGGATGGATGAATTATTTGTTCCTAGATTTTTCATTTCTTTTGATTTTTTTTTTAAAGAGAAATCCAGCCGGCTAATCTAACCTAATACTGTTAATTTAAGTTATAGAATTTTATACACTCCTGTATTATTTGTTCCTATTTTTGGTATAAATATCAAATGATGCAAAAGGATTTGATACAGTAAGGAACCTAAAATTATAGTTTTAAATAAATGTTCTATTTGTTTACAATGTTGTTTATTCTTTTCAGCTTGTCAGTTACATCACTGAAACTAAATTTATGACCATTTCAATAGAAAAATTGTTTCTGAACCGAAAAATCGATTTTAAATCGAATCGTGACACCAAAAATCTGAATGGAATCGCCAGACACAGAGATTCGCACCCCTATGAAACACTCAAATATTTTTAATATCTCATGGCTTACTTAGTTAATTTATATAACCACAGAAAATGCCCAGGGGTGAGGTGAATATTTCCACAAGGCACTGTATGTGGGTAAGTGCAGATAAAAAGAAAACATTTCAAAAGAACAGCCTAAACAGCAATGAAAGCAGCAACATATTATACGTTATTGGCATAAAGTTGTGTACATCTATATTAGAAAATTTGTCAGTTATAAAATGAAAAAACCTACTGAATTATCCAACAAAGTTAAAGTCTCTGGACGGTTTATTTTTTTTGTTGAAATGCTTAATCTTTCATCCAAAGGACTTCATCAGTCCGAGGAGCCACAACAAACAGTCCCACAAGCAGCACACTCACATAGTGGGCCAACCAGTTTGATGGTGATAAGACGGTTTCTGGAGTCTGCCCTCTCACCCATCGACTCCAGTGAGGCAGACACTGAACCACTTTGGCCATGCTGCCTCAGAGGAGTCAACAAGGGAGAGGGTGGACACCAGAAACAATTGTATCACCATCAAACTGGTTGACCCACTATGCGAGTGTGCTGCTTGTTTAACCACAACGAATAATGATTGTACAGTTCCAGATAACCAATTTCAATGTCAACCAGTTTGACAACTGTCAACAAGGAAGAGGGCTGGCAATAGAGGAGGGGGCGTACCAAAGAGACCATCTTATCACAAGCAGAACTGGTTTGTTCCACTTTGGAGTAAGCTGTTGGGGTAAGAATCAGTTTTGTTGCGTTTCCTTGACTGATGAAGCCTTCCGGACCGAAGGCGAAATGTTTCAGAACAAAAAAAAAGAAACTGTCCAGATGACCTGACTGAAAAATGTTGGATTGTATACCTGGATTATTGAGCATGGACTTTATTACAGTTCCATATAGTTTTCTTTCTTAAGTTGAAAACTTTAAATGAAAAAGTATAGTCTGAACAGCTAAAGGAGTGAACAATAAGACACAGGCTTATCGACACATCCAACTTAACTATACAAGGTTACAGTGTGTAAATATAATATTAGACTTAAGTACATGTGACAGTTTTTAACAGACCCTTCAGTTTTATCGCCATTGATGCGCGTCTAGTTAGCATGTCAGCTAGCGCTAGCTTCTGAAAATTTAGCTTCCTGTTATTTGCATTTTCCAACAAAATTTTTCACATTTGTTCATTCTCTGCCCCTATACAGAAAATGTATTAACTTACTTTACAAGTCGTGGGTTGAAACACCCTTATTCCGCTGTGTTTCTTCTACTCTTCTGAAATCACAGTTCTTCATGCGCAATCCATCCAATAAAAGAGTTCCTGTTAGGGTCAGGGGTCACTTCCGATTTTCATAATAAAAGTTTACCGGTTTGAGACTGTTGTTGCAGGTTTTCTGCCCCCTACTGTAAGGCATGTATTACATGTATGTATGTATGTTTTATTTATTCATTTCATTTCATCCAAACAACAAATATGATACAATTTAAAGAAAAGAAAAAAGATATACAATCACATAAATAAAATGAAAGGCAGCAGAAGAAGAATGAGTTCTTATAATATCTGCCCCTTGTCCCCAAAATATATTCCAAACAAAATTACTATACAAAAGCAAGATGAATTAATAAAAAAATAAAAAAATAATAAAATAAAAACTTAGGTAAATAGAAGATCAACTGTAAACGATTTTTATGAACTCACATTATACTTAATATTTTTTTTAAAAACAAATTTTTATCATCTTCTTGAATATGTACGTAGTTTTGGCATTTTTAATATCAACCTCCAGATCATTCCACAATCTAATACCCTGAGATATAGTGGATCGCATATTCAGACTGGTGCGACACCACGGCTTCACAAACATCTCCATCCCCTTAAGATAATAATTACTTTCTCTTTTAACAAATTTCCCTTGAATGTTAGTAGGTAGTATGTTTTTGTTGGCCCCATACATAAACAGTAAGATATTGTAATCAACCAAGTCATAAAATTTTAATATCCTTAGCTGATGAAACAATATATTTGACAGATGGTTATAATCTTTTCTGGTAATAATTCTTATGGCTCTTTTCTGTAAAATAAAAATTGGATTTGTAATTGTTTTACATGCTTTACCCCAGACTTCAATACAGTAAATTAAATGTGGAACAATAATGGCATTATACAATAGAAATATTGCTTTATCATTGAATAACTCTCTAACTTTGTACATTACTGCAATCGATTTAGCTATTTTAGTTCTTAAGGTTTTTACGTGAGATCTCCATGTTAGTTTTTCATCAATGATGACACCCAGAAATTTCACCTCATTGACTCTATTAATTTCAATTCCATCGACTCTAAATGGAGTATCAAGCACTTTCTTGTTATTACTAAAAATCATATAATTTGTTTTATCTACATTTAAAGATAATTTGTTTAGTTGAAACCAATTTTGTATTTTCACAAATTCTGTTTGTGCCATCTTCAACATTTGCACAACATTTTCACCCACACAAAGAAAAGTAGTATCATCTGCAAACAAAATACATTAAAAAAATCCAGACACATTTACCAGGTCATTCACATATAAAATAAATAGCTTAGGTCCAAGTATAGAGCCTTGAGGCACTCCACATGTAATATTACAGAATTCAGATTTTACCTCATTTATTTGAACAAATTGTTTCCTTTTTTCTAGATAACTAGATACCCACTGCAATGCATGCCCTCTAATACCATATTTATTTAGTTTTTTGAGAAGAATATTGTGATCAATAGTATCAAATGCTTTCTTTAGATCAACATAAATACTAATACAATATTTTTTTTGATCCACAGCAGTCGTTATCTGTTCCATTAAATCCACGAGTGCCATTGACATAGAATGTTTAGGTCTAAACCCATATTGACTATTACTTAATATATTTTGCTTATTGATAAATTCATCTAATCGAGTGACAAATAATTTCTCTAAAATCTTCGAAAATTGTGGGAACAACGATATTGGCCTGTAATTATTAAACACACGTTTCTCTCCACTCTTATATAATGGTATTACCTTGGCTATTTTCATGTTATTTGGAAATACCCCTGTTGAAAATGATAAATTGCATATATATATGTAAATGGCTCAATAACATAACTCATAATATTCTTTACAAGCATCATATCCATGTCCATCCAGTCTTTTGATTTTTTATCTGCAAGATGTTTTACGATAGTCATAATTTCTTCTTTATCAGTTCCCCCAAGAAAAAAACTGTTTGTGTAATCCGTAACCGTATGGTTTACATTTTTATCTATATTTGGGGTTTTTTTGCTGCCAGACTTGGGCCAATATTCACAAAATGTTGATTGAATCCATTTGCGATTTCATTTTGGTCATAAATTTCTTTGTCATCCTTTACAAAATATTGTGGAATGCTCGATTTTGTTTTATGATTATTCAGAACACTGTTCATTATTTGCCATGTTGCCCTCATATTACCATTACTTTTGTCTAATAATTCACTGTAATATTTCTTTTTATGCTTTCTTATAATCCCTACCAATTTATTTTTATAATTTTTATATCTCTGTTCTGCTTCGTTTGTTCTTAATTTCAGAAAGTTTGAGTATAAGTAGTTCTTTTTTTTTTACAAGCATTTCTTAACCCTTTGGTCATCCACGGTTTGTCATCAACAGGTTTCTTTGTGTAATTTTCTTGTACACAATTTTTTTCATACAAAGCTCCTAAAATATTCATAAATACATCATATGCTTTGTTTACATCAACATATACATCCTTCCAAGTTTGTTTTGTTAAATCTTCTTTTAGTTTATCTAGAGCTTTCTTTGATGCGTTTATTATTTTTTTCATAATTTTATCTACTTTCATATCATATTGATCTTTTTTATAGATAGTGAAGACTGGTAGGTGGTCACTGACATCCGTGATCAAAATGCCACCCATAAGTTCTTTATTTGTTATATTTGTAAAAATGTTGTCAATTATTGAAGCACTATGGGTAGTAATTCTTGTGGGTTTTGAAATCAATGAATAAAGATTTAAACTGTGCATTGAGTTTATAAATGTTCCGATATTATTTGAGTCTGTTTTATTTCCCAGGTCTATATTAAAATCTCCACACAAAAAAATGATTTATTAGAACTTTTTTCCAACATTGTCATGATGTGATTGGTGAATGATTCAATATTTGAATCAGGTGATCGATATACACAACTTATTATATTTTTGGAAGTCTCGTTTAATATTTCAACTGTAATCATTTCCATAATGTTATCCACAGCTACTGACAATTTATTGATCATTTTACATTTAATTTCCTTATTTACAAGTAGAGCTACGCCTCCACCTCATTTATTGTTTCTGTTCACATGATAAAGTTCATACCCTTCAATATTAACACTTTTTATATTTTCCTCATTTAGCCATGTTTCTGAGACTGCTATTATACTGAAAGCTCTATTTAACTGATTTAAATAATCTGTTATTTTAGATAAATTAGTGTTTATACTTCTACTATTAATATGAATAATGGAGAAGTCATCTTTAGACATTTTAATTTCATTGAATTTTTCTTCATTGTAATACTCACACTCTTTAATTTCAGGAAAAAAGTTTTTATCAATCACATCATCTATATTGTAAATTTTAAATTCTTAGTCTTCGTATGTTGTCATATTTCAATGTATGTGTCCATTTGTCATTTACCATTTTTAGCTTATCCGTTTACCTTATTTAGTTTGTCCGTTTACCTTGTTTGTTTGTCCATTTCTGGACTCATTTAAATCTTTCCAGCTCCTTGAGTTCTTTTATTATTTTAGCATGAGACCCTTCCTGTTCTTTGATCCAAATGTTTCCATTTCTGGTCCAAGTTGATGATATTTTTTTTGTTTTTTTTTAACAGCCTTGCTTCAAATGCTTCAGGCATGTAAATATCACTTCAGTACTACTGCTGCTTACACGTTCAAACATTGAAGAAAAACTTTGAAAATTCACTTTATTAAGATACATTGTGATAGTAATAAATTAAAAATAAGATCTGGTATTTCAAAATGTTTGTTCCATTCAGTCCCATATTACACAATGGCTTTTAAAGTCCTTGGGAAACCATTATATTATTTATGGGATCAACATCACTTCACAAAGACCTCACAGATGTCTAAGAGTGATGAATTCCGGTAAAAATAGAATAGCAATACATTTACTCAAGTTTGGCCTTGTTTTTCTGCATCTGGACTAGGACAGCTCATCATTGAAGGAACAATGAATTCTGAAATATATCAGAGAATTCTTAAGGAAAACATCAGGACATCTGTCCATGAACTGAATCTCAAGAGAAGGTGGGTCTTGCAGCAAGACAATGACCTTAAGCACACAAGTCGTTCTACCAAAGAATGGTTCAAGAAGAATAAAGTTCATGTTTTAGAATGGCCAAATCAAAGTCCTGACCTTAATCCAATCCAAATGATGTAGGACTTGAAGCAGCAGTTAATGTGAGGAAACCACCAACATCCCGGTGTTGAAGCTGTTCTGTACAGAGGAATGGACTAAAATTCCTCCAAGCCGGTGTGCAGGACTGATCAACATTTACCAGAAACATCTAGTTGCAATTATTGCTGCATGTGGTGGGGTCACACCAGATACTGAAAGCAAAGTCACATACAGTACTTTTGCCACCAACAAATTTGTAATATCGGATCATTTCCCTTAATAAATAAATTACCAAGTATAATATTTTTTCTCATTTGTTTAACTGGGTTTTTTATCTACTTTTAGGACTTGTGTAAAAATTTTATGATGTTTTAGGTCAAATTGATGCAGAAATATAGGAAATTCTAAAGGCTTCACAAACTTTTAAGCACTACTGTACATGGTCACCCTGAAATCTTCTTGCCTTCTCCACTCTCAACCTGTGGAATTAAAAATAAACGAGCTTGACTAACATTTCTGGACTACCATTAGAACCATACTCACTTTATCTTCTCTCATGCAGCATCCTCCTGTGTTCCTGCAATTCACTAACTGCAAATAAACACCTTTAAAATCCGCTGTTTGGTCTCGTGTCTTGGTTGGTACTCTGGGTATTTTGTAATCTGCTAAAAATGTGATAGAAACTCTTTAAATAGTCCAAAAACTGTCCCCAAATTTTGAGAGGGACTGTTTTGGGCCCCAAGGTGTTAAGTGTATACCAGTAGTCACTGTTCATTGTCATTGTGTATGGTCATGCATTTCAGTCATATAGTGCTTGATCATCCTGTTCCAACTCAAACCAAATGCACATCTCTACTTAAAATAAATATATTTTATTATTCTCATCGCTAGAGTGACCCCCTTCCTACATCTGACATAAAACATATTAATACAAAAATACACAATTATTTGACATCCATAATAAACAACCAGAAACATTCAGACAAATTCGAAGAGTGGGCTATTGGTTTACAAAAACAAAATGGTGAGTGTTCATCTAGAAGAATTGTACTTGTGATCAAGTGTACATGAAAACAAAGAGAGACTCAAAACTCAATTCTGGTTACTGATGACAACAGTAAATGCATCCCATAGATCCATTTTGCATTAGTAAGCAAAGTTTTGAGCTCCAGTTTAACATTTCCCAACATTCACTTCCACACAGAACAACTCACAGAAAACAGTTTTTAGTTTTTAATAACGTACACCGAAAATCCCGTGAAGCACCAACCAGAAACTATGCTCAGGTTTTAATGCTTAAAATTTTTCACAAAATTACTATGCTAAAAGTTTTTGATATTTTTACGTATCCTATGTAAATAAAGAAGACAATTTAATTAAAACCAATGTTTTCAAGGCCCATCACATTTAAAGGAACTTGTCGGGGGCTTGTTGCATGTCACACGAACAGTGTTAGACGTATAGATAACATAATGTTCCACAATGTTCAGGAGCCATAGAGTGTTAAAGACAGAGTGGTTTTGTTCAGGCTATGGTTCCAAAGGATGGAGGTGAAGGGGGTGGTGCCTTGTTGTTGTCATGGTTACAGAGGGTGCTCCCTGGTAGAAAAAGGTGAATTATGTGATGCAGCAGCCAGTAGCTCGTTGTAGATCTCCCGTCGAACCTCTTGTGCTACGTTCTCTCGAATCTGGTAAACAGGAAATGGAAGAGTCTGAATAGACCATGTGAGGATGGAACAAAGAGGAACTGTGTTGAAAAACAGTAGTAATATATTATATTGTATATAAAAAAGCCAGAAAGCTGAGTGTGCTACGGATGTAGCAACCTAAGAAAAAAGGAAAAACGTGTCTTGGTTCACAAGTACACAGATTCGATCTCATTTAGCTTGGTGTGAAATCCGACCAGAATTAAAGCTAATAATGTAACCATTTAAAAGTAGCCTGAAAAGCCGAAGAAATTGCTATTAATTACACATGAAGCATAATGCCAAAACAAGCAAGTGGGTAGAAGTAGAAACTATCAAAATTCCCATTCCTTAACCACTTACATAATCTTACATTTATTACATGTATAATCCATACATCCAACAACTAAACTCATATTAATATTTGACCTATCAATATAGTATCTATTCAAGTCTCCCTTGGAGGCGTGGGTGGGGCGGCTGTGGCTGAGTGGTTAGAGCAGTTGTCCTCCAATACAAGAGTTGGGGGTTCAAACCCCACAGCAGTCACATGCCCAAGTGTCCCTGGGCAAGACACTGAACCCCTTGTTGCCTCCGATGTGTGTGCCATCGGTGTATGAATGTGATCTAAGTCTGATCTGAGTAGATCTGAGTAGTCTCTTTAGAATGATTTGTTCAATTAGCTTTGTAGAGATCTAGTAGAGTGCTGTATGAATGGGTAAATGAGGGTACAGACTGTAGTGTAAAGCACTTTGAGTATCTCAATAAGATAGAAAGGTGCTATATAAGTACAGTCCATTTACCATTCCATTTAATGTAACTACAGTTGATGAACAATTATTTCTTCACCAAAAAATCAAAACTAGCATCAATAACAAAAACACCAACAACAATTGAATAATAATATTACTGGTACATATTAGATCCAGCAATAATCATATGCTTATATGAATATTTGAACTGTTTTATGTTTGGACATTGTTTAAGTTCAACATTCAAATTATTCCACAGTTTGACTCCACTTATTGATGCACAAAAGTTTTTTCTAGTAATTCTGAATTTGCACATTTTAAACTGTGGTTCTTCCCTTAACGTATAAATTTGCTCCTTAGTCTTAAACAGGTTTTGAATGTTTTCCGGTAATTGTTTATTTTTGGCTTTGTAAAGAATTAGAGCCGTTTCATAGTTTAACTACGTCATGTTACTACGAATGTTAATAATTTAGATTTTACAAATGTTATTGAATTAACTTGTACATTGTACTGCAATTTATATAATTGTACTGCAATTTGAATCTAGTAGTGATTATAATAATTATTCAACTATATAAGAAGTCTGGCAGTGCAGTGGCTCAGTTGGTAGAGCTGTTGCCTCTCAGCGAGAAGGTTGACGAATCAAATCCCGGTCTGGGGGCCCTTCTGGATGGAGTTTGCATGTTCTCTCCGTGCACACGTGTTTTTTTTCTGGGTACTCCAGTTTCCTCCCACAGACAAAAAACAAGCATGTGTGAATGAAAGAGTGCGTGGTGGTTTGTTTTGTTTGTCTCTATGTGTCCTAGTGATGGACTGAGACCTGTCCAGGGTGTACCCCGCCCCTCGCACATTGACTGCTGGACATGGGCACCGGCAACCCCTGTGACCCAAAATGGAAGAAGTGGGTAAAGATAATGGATGAATGGAATGGATGGATGGAAGTAGGTGAGAGCCTCCCAGTGGATAATTTCTGCGTGCTTCAGCTGGCAACAAGTGATTTAACCTTAACTGATGCAGTGAGTAGCTTCTCATTGGTTAAACCACCATGTCGACAGATATCCTGTGGTTGTTTAACAAATCTGTTCAGAAGGGTTAAATTATTGGCATGCATCAAGCAGCAAAAACATCTAAGAAGATTGCTGAAACTACTAAATCCAACACATTATTAAAAACTGGAAGGACAATGGGGAGTGTGCATCAGGGTAAGAAGAGAGGAATTGAGTCACCCATCATACCTAGTGCCTAAAGTACAAGCCTGTGGGGGCAGTGAGTCACCCATCATACCTAGTGCCTAAAGTACAAGCCTGTGGGGGCAGTGCTATGTTCAGGGGTAGCTGCAGTTGGTCTGGTCTAGGTTCAGCAACGTTATGTAGGCGTTTCAAACATTTGATAATGTCATAGAAACATCAAAGCAAATATGTTCTTGTTTTTAGTATTTCACCCTGTTTTACAGCATCCTGATATATTTTATACAATACTCTTATTTTAACTGCATTTTTACTGTAGTTTATTGTTATTATCGTTTATTGTTGTCTGTACTTAATATGTTCAGTCTGGAACAGGTCTCTCTTGTAAATGAGTCCTTGTGGCTCAATGCGACCAGCCTGTATAAATAAGGGTGGAATGAATGTGCCCAAAGAATGAAGTCAGCAGACTACACAAAAACACTGAACCACCAGGTTATTCCATTAATGGATTTTTTCTTCCCCGATTACACAGGTAAGGTCCATAATGACAATACCAGGATTCATTGGGCTCAGATAGTGAGAGTGGTTCAGGGAGCATGCGATATTATCTTCACACATGGATTGGCCTCCACAGAGTCCAGACCTGAACTCCAATGAGAATCTTTGGGTTGTGGTCCTAATCTCCTGGTATCAATATAAGATCTTAGCAAAAATTAATGCAACTCTGGGCAGAAATAAATATTGTGATATTGTGGAAACGATGGCAGAGTCAAAGCTAAACTTGGTCCAAGAAAAAATAAGAGAGTGGGTCTTTTTTTTTTTGGCCAAGCAGTGTATTATGTTATTGTAACAATAAGAATATGTGACACAGAGCCAGTTGGGCATGCTGTTACTTAAATAGAAGTTTTGTCAGCTGTGAGCAGTTGCCCATTTTGCACACCTTCTTAGCTTCTTCACGATGTCACATGTAAATAATGGGCGGACTAGGCAGTGCACAATAGGTGTTTTACATAACCATGTTTACAATTCAGAAAGGATAAAATCAAAAATATGACTTATTTAATAGTGAGGCTGTCAGCTGACAAATCCAAACCTGTTACACATGACCTTAGAGCCTCCCAATAATAGTAGTGGTTTGTTATTCTGTCTGCCTCATGATTACAGTAGTCCGTCGCTACTTCACAGTTCGACATTCACGGACTCGCTCTTTCGCGAGTTTCCAACGATTATCAACTTTAATATTACTCACGGTATACATAAAAGGGTAAAACGCTGCACAACGAGAAGAGGTGACCGGACCCTGAGGAGGATTGTGGAGAAGGGCTGATTCCAGACCTTGGGGGACCTGCGGAAGCAGTGGACTGAGTCTGGAGTAGAAACATCCAGAGCCACCGTGCACAGGCGTGTGCAGGAAATGGGCTACAGGTGCCGCATTCCCCAGGTCAAGCCACTTTTGAACCAGAAACAGCGGCAGAAGCACCTGACCTGGGCTACAGAGAAGCAGCACTGGACTGTTGCTCAGTGGTCCAAAGTACTTTTTTTGGATGAAAGCAAATTTTGCATGTCATTTGGAAATCAAGGTGCCAGAGTCTGGAGGAAGACTGGGGAGAAGGAAATGCCAAAATGCCAGAAGTCCAGTGTGAAGCACCCACAGTCTGCTGGTGTTGATCCACTGTGTTTAATCAAGGGCAGGGTCAATGTAGCTAGCTATCAGGAGATTTTGGAGCACTTCATGCTTCCATCTGCTGAAAAGATATTCCAAAAAGATTTGAAGCTCTCGACCTTGACCTCTAAGTGGCTTTAAGAATCTGTTGGACTCCTGGCAGGGACCAATGCAGACATGTTCCTGTTTTTAGTTTTATACATTTGTCTCGGAATCTAGTAGTTTTTTTGGTTTTGTTACCTTTTTCCTTTTAGCCATCCTATTTGTTAAAAAAAAAAAACAAAAAAAAAAACTGTAGTACGAGTTTTTTATAACTGCTTATTGTTGTTGCTGTTGTCCATTGTTGTCATCTTTCTTTGTTGAAATCAGGTCTCTCTTGTAAATGAGTCCTCGAGGCTCAATGGGATTTACCTGTATAAATAAAGGTTGATTGATTGATCTGCTGAAAAGCTTTATGGAGATGAAGATTTCATTTTTCAGCATGACCTGGCACCTGCTCACAGTGCCAAAACCACTGGTAAATGGTTTACTGACCATGGTATTACTGTGCTCAATTGGCCTGCCAACTCTCCTGACCTGAACCCATAGAGAACCTGTGGGATATTGTGAAGAGAAAGTTGAGAGACGCAAGACCCAACACTCTGGATGAGCTTAAGGCCGCTATCGAAGCATCCTGGGCCTCCATAACACCTCAGCAGTGCCACAGGCTGATTGCCTCCATGCCACGCCGCATTGAAGCAGTCATTCATGCAAAAGGATTCCCGACCAAGTATTGAGTGCATAACTGAACATGATTATTTGAAGGTTGGCGTTTTTTGTATTAAAAACACTTGTCTTTCATTGGTGGGACGAAATATGCTAATTTTTTGGGACAGGCATTTTGGGTTTTCATGAGCTGTATGCCATAATCATCAGTATTAAAACAATTAAAGACCTGAAATATTTCAGTTGGTGTGCAATGAATCTGAAATATATGAAAGTTTCATTTTTATCATTACATTATGGAAAATAATGAACTTTATCACAATATGCTAATTTTTTGAGAAGGACCTGTACAGCGAAAGTATTCGGCCCCCATGAACTTTTCAACCTTTTGCCACATTTCAAGCTTCAAACATAAAGATATAAAATTTTAATTTTTTTGTGAAGATTCAACAACAAGTGGGACACAATCGTGAAGTGGAATGAAATTTATTGGATGTGTCAAACTTTTTTAACAAATAAAAAACTGAAAAGTGGGGCATGCAATATTATTCGGCCCTTTTACTTTCAGTGCAGCAAACTCACCCCAGAAGTTCAGTGAGGATCTATGAATGATCCAATGATGTCCCAAATGACTGATGATGATAAAAAGAATCCACATGTATGTAATCAAGTCTCTGTATAAATGCACCTGCTCTGTGATAGTGTCAGGGTTCTGTTCAAAGCGCAGAGAGCATCGTGAAGACCAAGGAACACACCAGGCAGGTCCGAGATACTGTTGTGGAGAAGTTTAAAGCCGAATTTGTATACAAAAAAAATTCCCAAGCTTTAAACATCCCAAGGAGCATTGTGCAAGCAATTATATTGAAATGGAAGGAGTATCAGACCACTGCAAATCTACCAAGACCCGGCCGTCCCTCTAAACTTTCATCTCGAACAAGGAGAAGACTGATCAGAGATGCAGCCAAGAGGCCCATGATCACTCCGGATGAACTGCAGAGATCTACAGCTGAGGTGGGAGAGTCTGTCCATAGGACAACATTCGGTCATACACTGCACAAATCTGGCCTTTATGGAAGAGTGGCAAGAAGAAAGCCATTTCTCAAAGATATCCATAAAACGTGTTGTTTAAAGTTTGCCACAAGCCACCTGGAAGACACACGGAACATATGGAAGAAGGTGATCTGGTCAGATAAAACCAAAATTGAACTGTTTGGCCACTATGCAAAATGATATGTTTGGCGTAAAAGCAACACAGCTCATCACCCTGAACACACCATCCCCACTGTCAAACATGGTGGTGGCAGCATCATGGTTTGGGCCTGCTTTTCGTCAGCAGGGACAGGGAAGATGGTCAGAATTGATGGGAAGATGGATGGGGCCAAATACAGGACCATTCTGGAAGAAAACCTGTTTGAGTCTGCAAGAGACCTGAGACTGGGACGGAGATTTATCTTCCAACAAGACAATGATCCAAAACATAAAGCCAAATCTAAGAGCCGAAGACTGCTGTTCACAAATGCTCTCCATCCAACCTCACTGAGCTCGAGCTGTTTTGCAAGGAAGAATGGGCAAGAATTTCAGTCTCTCGATGTGCAAAACTGATAGAGACATATCCCAAGAGACTTGCAGCTGTAATTGCAGCAAAAGGCGGCGCTACAAAGTACTAACGCAAGGGGGCCGAATAATATTGCACGCTCCACTTTTCAGTTTTTTATTTGTTAAAAACGTTTGACACATCCAATAAATATCATTCCACTTCACAATTGTGTCCCACTTGTTGTTGATTCTTCACAAAAAATTAAAATTTTATATCTTTATGTTTGAAGCCTGAAATGTGGCAAAAGGTTGAAAAGTTCAAGGGGGCCGAATACTTTCGCAAGGCACTGTATGTATGTTATTTAAATGACGTAGGTTTAAGAGTTTAGAACTTTGAAAGAGTGTGCAAAGGGTTTATAAGGCCTTAAAATATATAAATACTAAAATTAATACAGTAGTCCCTCGCTACTTCGCGGTTCAACTTTTGCGGGCTCGCTCTAATCATGGTTTGTGGACGTCCAGAATATAGCACAAAAAATATTTTTTTCTCTTTTTTTAATAGTTTGCAAGTTACTCATAAAGTTATTTTATTTATTGTCAGACTCTCTTTTTTTGTTGCATTAACAGATATTTTTCTTTCTAATTTTTACTTTTAGAACACTTTTACTGTCACCTCTTTAATGAGCTGTTTGAAGTTGATTCCTCCTGCTGCTCCTTCCTTCTCTGATGCAGCTTTCTCATCTTCCACTCCTTTACTTCCTCTCTGTCCCTCCTCCTCCTCCTCTTCCTCCTCAGTGTGTGTGCTGGGTCGAGAAGGAGCGGTGGGTGTTATGTTGACTGATGACCGATACACTCCTTGCGTCTGCTTTCCATCACCTTGGTCTCCTCCGACCAGACTGGAGGAGTGGCTGGATGGGTTGGTGATGGGGCTGTGGCCATTGTAACTAAGCTCAGATTGGAGGAAGAACTGCTCTCTGAGGAGGTCTGACACCTGGAAGGCAGACAAGACAAATGAAAAGTCTTACTTGAGGGCAAACATCATTTTGGAACTTTACAAAACAGTTTTTTTCAGGTTTGTGCTGACCGGCTCCATTGCTCTCAGTGCAGATATGGTAGACAGGTTGTCAACACTGATGTCGCTGTGAAGAGGCTGAATACACAACAAATAAAGTTTGTTATGTATAACATATGCATGTATGCTTTGAGACATATTCAGTGATGAGTTCTTACTTTGTGAGGAGTCAAACTCATAAGTCGGTCTTCTAGCTGTTGTTCCAGCTCCTGGAGTTCCTCCCTGACTGCTGACCTCAGAAACTGAAGCTGCTCTGCCTCAATCCTATAAAAAACACATACACCCTGAGTTGGCCTCATTTCATGCTAGGTCCAGACTGCTGAGGAGTAAGAATGCCTTTTGTTGTTGTTGTGTGTCACCTGTCAGCAGGACTCAGGTGTTTGTAAACGATAGCCTGCTGTTGCATGATTGACAGCTCAAGGTCCATCATCTGACTGCGGAAGACGTTTAGGCTTCGCCTCTTCTCCTGAAACTCTGCTAAAGACTGAACAAAAAGAAACACACTTTACTGATAATGGCAGCAAAAACAAGTCACACTGATGACTCAAACTTTGTGATTTAAATCAAACCTTCCTGTAAGAAAAGTACCGTACAGATTTTATTAGGAAAATATGCAAGCATCAAATGTACCTGTTGACTGGTTGAAGCTGCTCTGAATTCACCAAACCTATCTGGAGTACTGACTCGACTCTGGAGAGGTAAAACAACATCAGGCCCAGAAGTACAATAAAACACAAAGCTGACAAAAGTGTATGTTACAGCAACTGTACTCTATTAGAAGTGTCATAGAGCAAGACAATAGCTAAGTATCAATGTCACAATATTCTTTTACATGTTGCCTTGACATTGCTGCCAGCTTACTGCCATAAAACTTAAAAAATAAAAATAAAAAAAAAGGCTGACACAAACAGGATTAATATTTCTTTAGATTTTACATGGAAAACTCTTGAACACACAAAAAATACTGATGTTAAGAATAATTGGCAAACCAGAATGAATATAGCAGTTTAGGACAGTTTGGATGTATCTAAATGCCTAATATATTATTCACATATGGTTTGTGTCTGTGATTTATTGCAATACTTTGCAATATCAATATTCCACACTTTGATATTCATGATATGCTCTTCTTCCTTTTCTACTTTCGGCTTTTCCCTCTTCAGGGGTCGCCACAGCGAGTCATCCTCCTCCATCTCACTCTGTCCTCTGCATCCTCTGTCCTCACTCCATCTACCTCCATGTCCTCTCTAACTGCATCCATATATCTCCTCTTTGTCTTTTTCCTGGCAGCTGCATTTCTAATATCCTTCTACCAATATACCCACTGTCCAAACCATCTCAGTCTGGCCTCTCTAACTTTATCTCCCAGTTGTTCAACCTGTGCTGTACCTCTGATGATCTGATTCCTAATCTTATCCATCATTGTGACTCCTAAGGAGAACATAAACATCTTCATTTCTTCCATTTCCAGTTCGTTCTCCTGTCTTTTTGTCAATGCCACTGTCTCCAGACTATAAAATATAGCTGGCCTCACCACTGTCTTGTAAACATTTCCTTAGACCTTTGCTGACACCTTTTTGTCACAAATCACTCCTGAAACTTTTCTCCATCCTGCCTGGACTCTCTTTTTCACCTCTTTACCACACTCCCCTTTTTCTTAGACAGTGGACCTCAAGTGCTTGAAGTCCTGCACCTTTGTGACCTCTGCCCCTTGTAGCCTCCCTGTTCCACAATGACACAGTTTCACAAACAAAGTTCTTTCTGACCCTCTCTGTACTTCTCCATCAGCATCCTCAAAGAAAAGATGGTATCTGTGGTGCTCTTTCTTGGAATGAAACCATACTGCTTTTCAAAAATACTCACCCCTTGTCTAAGTCTAGCTTCCACAACTCTCTCCCAGATCTTCATCATGTGGTGCATCAACTTAATTCCCCTGTAGTTGCTCCAACTCTGTACATCACTGTTGTTCTTAAAAATGGGCACCATCTCTCCAAGACTTTTCCAAACCTCCACTGGTATGTCATCAGGTCCTACTGCTTTCTCCTTCTTCATTCTTTTCAGAGCTTTCCTGACTTCACCCTCACAAATCTTTCCCACTTCCTGGTCCACAGTTTCTATGACTTCTACTCTTCTTTCTCTTTCATTCTCTTCATTCATTAGCTCCTCAAAGTACTCCTTCCATCTTCCCGTCACACTCTCCTCACTTGTTAGAACATTATCATTCCTATCTTTAACAAACCTAACTGGCTGCACAAACTTTCCAGCCTGATCCCTCTGTCTCATCTGTCTTGACAAGAATTTATCATTCTCTTTAATGTCCAGCCTCCTATACAATACATCATACGCCTTCTACTTTGCCTTTGCTACCTCCCTCTTTGCTCTACATTGCATCTTCTTATATTCCCGTCTCCTCTCTTCAGTCCTCTCACTGTCATATTTCTTCTTGGCAAACCTCTTTCTTTGAATAGATTCCTGCACTTCACTATTCCACCACCAGGGTTCCTTCCATTCTCTGTCCAGATGACACACCAAGTACCTTCCTACTGGTCTATAATTACTGTTGCTGTAGTAGCCCAGTCATTTGGAAGCTCTTTCTTAATACCCAGATCCTTTAACAGCTCCTCTCTGAATTTCTCACAATATTTTTCATTTTTCACTTTCCACCATTTGGTCTTCTTCTCTGATTTGACTCTTTTTCTCTTCTTCACAACAACAGTCATTCTACACACAATCATCCGATGCCGTCTGGCCACACTCTCCTCTGCCACAACTTTACAGTCCCCAATCTCCCTCAGGTTTCCTCTACTACACAGAATGTAATCGACCTGCGTACTCCTTCCTCCACTCTTATAGGTCACTCTGTGTTCCTCACTCTTTTGGAAATATGCATTGACTCTAGCATTTCCATTCTCTTGGCAAAATCCACCACCATCTGTCCTTCCTAGTTTCTTTCCTTGACACCAAACCTGCCCATCACTTCCTCATCCCCCGTGTTTCCTTCACCAACATGTCCATTCAGGTCTGCTCCAATCACCACTTTGTCTCCCCGGGAATACTCATCCAGAGCCTTTCAAAATTTCTCTTTCCCCTCTACATCACATCCAACTTGTGAAGCATAACCACTCACATTAATATTTTGAATATGTTGTGCAGCCCTAAAGTAAAGCCACAAGTGAAAATGAGTACTGAGCATTTATTATACCTTTGTTTGGAAACGGAGAGCAATAACTTCCACCTGATGATTTTTTTGTTTGTTTTACAAGATGATGATTCTTCTTATTATTTTTATTATTTTAATCAAGGCCTGGTCTCTTATAATAACATAATTATGAACACATTTGGTTTCAATGTTAACTACGCTTAAAAAAAATCTGTTTACCTGACCTCAGTTTCTTTACAGAGGACTTCTAACAATATAGTAAATAACCAAGGGGGACCAACCTGACCCAAACATTGAACTGTTCCCCTGATCTCATGCAGAACCCTTCTCAGCTGCAATTCTGTGCTGGATAGGCAACGTCTAGGTCCTGAACCCAGATCAGCTGGAGGACTGAACCTCAGATGGTGAAGGTGTGGGTTCATGCTGTACCTCAGAGTACCATGGTAAGGCAAAGCAAACTGGGAGCCATGTGGAGTTGGGGGGTAAAGGCACTGATGATCATGTGGATAACTGTAGCCTGTGTGATGCATCGGGGGGGTTCCAGGATGTAAGTGGCCTAAACCAAAGCAGTTTGGGTCTGTTGAATCTAGGGTCTGATGTAGGTTGGTGAGGCTGCTGTGTGGGGGTACTGGGGGAGTGAGATGTTGGTGGAGGCTGGTTATACTGGAGTAGGGATTTATGGAAGGGTTGTGACAGAAAGGAGGACTAACATTAGGGTACAGAGAAAGAGGTAAAGGAATGGAGTTGGGAACAGGACTGGGATATGGGCTGGGATCTGAGAACACTACTGAAGGGCTGTGAGTGGGGAACATCATTTGCCCAGGGCTCAAATATGGCTGGCTTTGGTTGGCACTCAGGCTCAGCTGGAAGGGGCCAGGGTGAAGATATTGATAATGATTAGACGAAAGATCAGGAACGCTCTGTGTGCTCCAGGAGTGGGCATGGCTGCCCGAGAAATGATCAGGAGGGCTGGCACTATGCGGAGAACAAGATGATTGCTGTAGGTGGGGAGGGATGGCAGCTGGGCTTTTATTTTTAGAGCCTGGGTTTATGATCAGAGTAGACAGACAGTTGCCTTGCTCTTTCTCCTCCAGCCCCTCCTCTACTTTCCTTTTTTCTCCGGCTTCCTGAGTGTACTTAAAGGAGTACTTGGGTTGGGTGCAGGATGCTTGTCCTTTTCTAAACTGGATCTTGACAGAGGACACAACTGTGGAGGGCAGGGAGGATGACCTCTCTAAAGGAAGACCTCTGCTTCTTCCTCGTCCTCCTCCTACTGGACTTTGCGTCATATTGTTGCATTGGATGCTGTTATGCTGATGCACCCGACAGAACTGATTCTGTTTGGCTCGATTCAATGCACAGAGAACTGGAGACAATGGAACCGGAGGATCAAGTGAAGCAGAATCATCTACGGGTGAAGATTCCTCCGGGGTTTTCTTCTCAGCTCCCTCTGTGGGAGTTTCAGTGTCTGCTGTCTGAGTTTGTTTTAGTTCTTGTCCTGAAACAGGTTCATTCAGGGTGTGTTCCAGTTCTGGCTGTGGTTCTTGCTCAGACATGTACCGCAAAGGATCTGTTTCTGAGTCTGGATCAGTCCCATCTTCACCTTCAACTTGCCCCTCTTCTCCTGCAGGTCTGCTCTTAGGGAGATCATGAACTGGGTAGTGCGGAACCTGCTCTGATCTTCCTTCATGTTCTTCGTCATCGATGAAGTGAGTGGTTCCATCAGGCTTGATGGTATCACCAGTTCCCGCCTCTTCCTCTCGGGCATCTGGCAAATCAAATGCAGGTTGGTCTAATACATGGGGCGTAGCTAAGTCTTGTGAAGGATGTGAAGTGACGGTGGTCTCGCTGTCGCAGCTGTCACTACTGTCCTGAATCTAATGAAAAGGAAATTAAATTTAAAAATCATTTCATGCATCCAATCCCCAAATTAGGGAAAACAGAAAATTTATATTTAATTTTCATTAAATAAATCAACTTATGGAAACACACAAAAAAAAGGTAAATCATATCATCTAGACAGTTTATTTTTGGGAGAAACATTTCGTCTTTAATCCAAAAGACTGTCAGTCTGAGGCCTGCCAACTAGATCTGTCTTACAAATGGCACCTCCTTGTAGAGCTGTCATTTCTAACCCGGGCCCGAAGCCTGGCCCGGCCCAATACGAATTTGAGCCGGGCCGGGCCATGATAATGTACTGGATGGGCGGGCCGGGTTGGTGTTGGGCTTTTGATTGTGTCAGCGGATCAGCCACGATCCAAATATATGGCAACATGGCTTGTCATACAGTCCAATTATATGGCAACATGGTTTGCCATATATCGTGTGCCAGTTGCACGTGGCCATTTCACCGCAAACTGACCGGCCTTGAAAGAGGTAAAAGAAAGTTCAGTTAAGCTTCAGATGGGACTACAGGTATTGCCAGGAAGCGATCCATCGCACAAATAGACGTTCGGCCGCTGCACTCAGTGGACGCACGCAGCTGATGACCCAAAAAGGTGAGATCCCAAAGCAGATATGTCAGAGCAGGGTCCATGTCTGAATAATGCAGAATGCAGGCAGAAGCAGGGATTTAATGCACTTTGACGGCCATGAAAGAACAAACACCCTCTCAGCTCCTATCTTCTGCCCCCTTTACTCTGCCGCACGTGTCCGCCGACCATTAATAACTATAAGCAGTCAAAGCTTAATTAAAAATGTTGGGGGGGGGGGTTCAGACCTGTAATTAGTGTTAATTCGTCAGGTCGGGTGGGGTTCGGAAATGATGGCTACGGGCTGGGGCTGGATCTAATTTTTTGGGCCCGAATGCAACTCTACCTCCTTGATGTGTTTCACGCCAGCTCTCTGTGGGATTCCCAGAAACTGACTTTACACATGCAAAAATGAACCGTGTCTTTCTCCCAAAAAGAAACTGTCCACATGACAATTTATACTTTTGTTGCTAATAATAATAATTTATATGCCTTCTTTTATGATTGTCTACTCTTTGTTACAAACAGGTCTCTCTTGTAAAGAATTTTAAAACAGGCCAACTGCTTTCATCGTGTACATTTCTTTAGGGTTAGAGTTTAATTTACTTAGCAAAAGTGTCAAGTATGTTTTCATGTTTATTTTCTTTTAAATGCCTGAAAAAAATGACGCAATTTGCTCCAAAGTTATCCCTTAGATGATAACAGAACTATTACTCCTTCTGTAAAAGGTGTTGACAGATAAACTGTAGCTGATGTGATGCTACATTGACTGTTATTCTAGAATAATGGTTTAATTTTAATTGTGGCTTTTTGCCTTCTGGTGCCATAACTTTTTACTGTAGTCATATAACAAAAACGCTGTAATCTAAATTTAGGGGGAAAAGAGCTTTTATTTTGCGAAGAAATTATTTGAAAATAGTTTTCACAATTAAGAGTGTAAGCAACTTTTTGCAGTTCTAGCCCCCTGAGGTGCAGCTGTACAACATGAAGATGATCAAATCTGGATTGAATCCAACAACCAACCTTGAGGTAGATGCTGGAGTCAACCGACGTCTCCTCAGCAAACCCACTGCTGTCGGACTGCTGACTAACAGTCCTGGACATGTCTGAGAGAGAAAGAAATTAAAAAACTATTTCTGTAGTACTCTACCTGACCAGCAGATGGAAGAGTAAAATCATTTGCAGGAAACAAAAAGAGTACAACAGGAACAGGACGGTTTGTCCTTACAAAGACATAAAACAGGACACAAACATTTATGATGCACAGATGCTATCCCATAGATTAGAAAAGTGTTAATTAAAATAAATAAACTAGACTTTGGAAAAAAATATAAAATTGTTTATGACTCAGTTGATGTGAACTTATGGTAACTCGAGGAATGCATTTATGGTTAGAAGTATGTTTTTAAAGTTTATCTTAAAGCAAAAACTGATCATGTGCTTGTAAAGTGAACCACTAAGTTAGAGGTCAACAGAATTATTTCTCCTGGTCAGTCTGAACACAACACGGTCCTTTCGTTTAGTCATGCACGTTGGATGTAAGGACAGAGGACACAACTCTGGAGGGAGTTTGTAAAATGGTAAAATGTTCAAAAGTGATTTTGAAAGTGTTTAGTTACAAAAAATACAGACAGACACAGAGTTTTATGATTAGAAGCACTGAATATTTCTGACAGGAGAAAACTGTCTACTTGGATCTCACCGGCGGTTCGTAACGTTCTGGGTAGCAGAGTCTCGTCTTCGTTAGTCTGAATCTGAACAACAAAAGATGGAGAGCAGATTAGAGAAAAACAAGCAGTACACCAAGGTCCCCCGTTGCTGAGGGATTTGAACAGTGAATGTAGTTTTCGAGATGAATGTTGTTCTGGACTGGAATCTAATGCGCTTGGTGCAAGTGTGTAGGAGTCACTCTGTGTATAAGAATGGAGTTTGTTTTTCTTCTTACAGAGCAGAGTGACAGATCCAGGTGAGAGAAGGAAGCACTTTATCCACCACCAGGTGCAATGATGTAACCGGGGGTGGCCACCATAGATTAATCTTTGGCCACCCCAATCATTTGAGAAAACCATACTTTTAAGACCTGTGCAGGGTGTCCCCCGCCTCTCGCACAGTGACTGCTGGATATGAGCACCAGAGACCCGAAACGGAAGAAACAGGTAAAGTGTCAGGGGAATTTTGGTCAAGATCATGGAAGTTATTAGCCAATATTGAACTAATGTGTGAGTTCAGGGAGTTGTTTTCTTCTCAGAGGCACCTGATGCCTCACAGTCAGTGAGCTGGGAGGCTGAGGTCGTCTGACCTGTAGTAGCTGATAAGTGTGTATAAAAACACTTCTTGCATACTGTCCAGGGCAGATCCTCATGACCGGGCTTCAATGAAACATCTGTGCAAGCCTGCGGTGAATATCTGTCCTTGCAAGTAAACTATAAAAATCTTCTCCTGTCGTCGTGTGCGGCTCCTTTTAAGTAAGTAAGATAATGACAGGATTTTTTATCCAACATAAAGATAATGGATAGATGGATGGATGAATACATTTAAGAAATATAAAAACTAGAAAGCATAGTTTCCTCAAATGATTTGGGTTGATGCCATACATATATGGTGGCAGACATCTTGGATTTTGGAGGATGACCTTTGTAGGCGCAGCCACACACCAAGTTGGGGATGCTTAGCGTGAACAACTCAAGTGACTCGTATGGACTGGGTTACTTTACTGAGTGATTCAGATTAACCTGGATCAATAAAGTGAACCAGATTTACCAGTTAAACTCAGAAACTGATTTTTATTCACTATTTATCACTGGCTTATTAAAAATAAACACACACGACTATTTATTTTCTTTATTTTATCAACTATCTTAGTAAACACATAAAAACACCTTTCAGTTGTGGTGTATGATGTCAGTGGATGATCTGCCTTGATTTTCTACTAGAGTAACTTTGCAGGCCACGTTTAGTCACCACAGTGAGAGCAGAGGGAAATAAACATCATGCATGATGGTTTGGGTGAAAAGTGTCAGTGAATCTCTGTACCTCCTCCATGTCAAAGGAGTCTGTGTTTTCCATGCGAAGCTGGGCGAGCTTGGAGGCTGTCAGGGTGGAGGCTGCCTTCTCAGGGGTAGAGGTGATGTTTGCCTCATCTTTGGCTACCTGAGGTCCCGCCTCCTCTTTTCTCTGATTGGCTGACTGAAGATCGGCTGACTCTAGCTGAGGCTCAGGTCCAGAGCTGCTCCATTCGGGACAGATTAGAAAATACATGCTAGTTACCAAAACAAAGAAAATAAAGACGGAAACAAATGTATTACGGCTCTGAACATGTTTCCCTTCCATATAGAGACAACGGAAACAATATCTTTTATTGCATGCCGCCGTGAAAGTGCGGTGAACAAATAATGCCTGTGTGTGTGTTTGGTCATTAGAAAAAGTTATTCACAAACCACTGGACAAATATTAAAGACACTCTCTGAAACTAATCACTAGATATTTAAAAACTTTTAACCTTTTTAACTTTTGAAGTCAGTCCAATTCCAAAGGACAGCCACAGCTAAATGTTAACAAATCCAAAATGGCTTTAACTCTATCAATTTAACAAGGACAGGGCTCATATTTGGTGTGGTAGTAGCAGACCATCATACCCAACTCACAATGTGAGTGCCAACAGACTGGAAAAGGTCTTTGTTCAAAACTTTAACATGCAAAGCAGTGGGTGATAAGCAACCATTCCGTGTATTTTAATTTCATTAAATATGTTTTTTATATGTGTAAAGATCTTTTTGAAATAAAGTTTTTGATTAAAGACTTTGTAGGCACATTTTCTGGTGCATTTTGTGAATCCAAATGTTATTTCATGTTATTACATTCACACATTCACACACACACAGACCAGGGACAATAAAAGGCTTGATCTATTTTTTGCAAACATAAAAGATGCTCACCCCCCTCCCCAGTTGGCTGCTCTGATCTCAACCTTGTTTATCTGCACTCAAGACAACATACCTATGGTAATTAGACAACCTCAACCAAAAGGTATGCAAAGAAGATGTCTGAGGAGTCCAGCTCAGCATTTCAGAACAGTTCTGAGCACGACTGGATATTATTTTTGTGTTGAGAACATTGTACCAACAAGAAGGGTACCATAATTGCCGCCGTACATGTCGCACTGCCGTATAAGTTGCATCAGTCCAATTATGTCTAAAAAAAAGTGTAAAAATCCATAAATAAGTCGCTTCCCCATTTGCGTTGCATCGATTATGCGTCTATCTATTATCCACTATTATCCATGAGGTTTGAGCTCAGAGTCATATCTGTACCAGTTTTTGTGACGATCTGATAAGCCATACAGTAATCCCTTGCTACTTTGCGGTTCATTTTTCACAGACTCACTCTTTCGCGGTTTTTCAAAGTAAGATTGGACATGACACACAATTAGCTGATTGATGGATGAGCCACACGATCGGCATGGAATTTTTATTTAAAATAAATTGTTTTAAATTATTTCGCACCTGCTGCACCTGTGTGCAGCCCACACTGCAGGAGACACTTCCTCCTGCAGTGTGTCATATCTCCACTCTGCAGCGGAGAAGAGGGTGTGGCCGAGAGTGCTGGCAGATGGCAGAGAGCTGAGCTCATGACATGCTGTGCTCTTTTAAAGAGCTTAGAGTTTAGAAAATAGTTAGGGACATTGCAAGATTGTGGGAAGGGTTTAAAACACCTTGATACCTGTATATAAAAACTAAAATAAACCACTAATTACTACAACTACAATTTGTGCACATAATTTTGTTCCATCTCATGTACCACATGAGATGGTAATGAAAGTAAAGTTTACTTGAACTCTGATTGCTGTATCCTTACTTCGTGGCTTTTCCACTTATCGCCAAAACTTTTGCCAAGGCACATATCATCCAGATGTTTAAAAAACAATTAATATTCCTTGGAAACTTATAATCTATATAGTATGTGGAATTTAGATGGAGATTTCTACGGTGATCAAACTCAAAACCTTTGAAAACCAGTCAAAAGTAGATTTTTCAAAATTTGCGACAGAAAAAAAGTATTTTAGGCTGAAATGTGTGTGGCCTACACTTTGTGACTCAGTAGCATGCAGGGATCACAGAATGGAAGCCATAAAACTTTGTAACTTACAGTATAAAAGTTCAACAACCAAATATAGCCCCCCGTATAGGTGGACGTGTCTGGGTATTTTACTTTGTTGTACACACAGGGCATCGTTATTTCCATGTAAATATCATTCTAGTACTACTTGTGGTTAGGGCTGCAGAATGACTTATTTACAGAGGAAAAAGAAAAATGTTAATAAAAAGGGAAGTTTCTAAAGGGTCCTAAGTATGAAAACACTGCTGCACTTCTCTGCCTCCGCTGGCTTGGACCCCTAACACGTTCTACAATCAGAAACTCCCATGGTAAAAGTTTGATCATTTCAAGTGAACACAAATTAAATAAACAATTGTATTTATTGGAGTATTTTATGTTGCTGTTTTACTGCAGCAAACAGGTTTAAATGATTTCTAAACTATTCCTTACCAGTTTTGGGTCAGCTGATCGGTCTCTACACCTCCACTGGTTTCTTCGGTAACTGTTGATAAAGGAAAATGGTCCTTTTTCCAAACTGATTTTTGACCAACTGTTTCTACCTGGTGGTTAGAGTTGTTGCTGTCGCAGTCCTGTGAAGGACCAGTGTGTGCTTCACTGGAGGTGGCTGCATGGGCATGGCCGTTCAGCTGCAACTGTTTAGGTGAATTGTTTTCAGGCGACTCAGAGGCAGCGCTGAGCAGGTTGTGCTTGCTAACGGTCTTTTTGAGGAGTTTGGCAAAATTCAGAGCAGAGCTTTTCCTCTTCAGAGGAGATGGATCTTCACAGTCTCCTCCTTCACATACATCATTTTCTTCCCTACCTAAACAAAAGACAATTATGCAGAATTTTAAAAACGCTATCAGAGTTTTAGTGATTGATGTATGAAAATATTTAAATTATATTTATATAAATATACAGTGCCTTGCAAAAGTATTCGGCCCCCATGAACTTTTCAACCTTTTGCCACATTTCAGGCTTCAAACATAAAGATATAAAATTTTAATTTTTTGTGAAGAATCAACAACAAGTGGGACACAATCGTGAAGTGGAATGAAATTTATTGGATGTGTCAAACTTTAACAAATAAAAAACTGAAAAGTGGGGCGTGCAATATTATTGGGCCCCTTTACTTTCAGTGCAGCAAACTCATTCCAGAGGTTCAGTGAGGATCTATGAATGATCCAATGTTGTCCCAAATGACTGATGATGATAAATAGAATCCACCTGTGTGTAATCAAGTCTACGTATAAATGCACCTGCTCTGTGATAGTCTCAGGGTTCTGTTTAAAGCGCAGAGAGCATCATGAAGACCAAGGAACACACCAGGCAGGTCCGAGATACTGTTGTGGAGAAGTTTAAAGCCGGATTTGGATACAAAAAGATTTCCCAAGCTTTAAACATCCCAAGGAGCTCTGTGCAAGCAATCATATTGAAATGGAAGGAGTATTAGACCACTGCAAATCTACCAAGACCCAGCCGTCCCTCTAAACTTTCATCTCGAATAAGGAGAAGACTGATCAGAGATGCAGCCAAGAGGCCCATGATCACTCTGGATGAACTGCAGAGATCTACAACTGAGGTGGGAGAGTCTGTCCATAGGACAACAATCAGTCG